TAAAAATTTTGATGAACGTTTATGGAGGTTTTGGATTTCCATTCATTCATTGTTGTACTTTTCTCCCTGCTCACCCTTACCCCCTAGTTTCCTCTTCTCTCTGGAAAGTAAAAGAAAAATTCCTTCATTGGTACCTGTTGGTTTTCTTAGCAGTCCACAGTATATTCAACACTCTTCTCCAGCACCACAGCTCAAAGAGACCTGACAGGACAAGTAAAGAGCCTGTACGGTTTCCAAGGTTACAAATCTTGATGGGAGCACACGGCCTCACCTTCCTCCCTTAGAGCAGCGGGTGTTGGAAAACTGGTGATGCAGGTTATCAACCCAACACACAGCCTGCTACGCCAGAAAGGTCCACTTAAAAAGATTATTTTAATTGTGATTTTAATGAACATTCACAGAGAAGTTAGCTTTTCATTCATTTATTCTTGTGCATTTTAGCCCCTCGTCCTCCCTTCCCCCTTCCCAGTTCACTTTTTTAAAAAATAAATTTTCATTCATTGCTGTACAATTAGCTCCGCAGAAGGCTGGGCAGTCTCCTCCTGTGAGATTAACTGCCTCTGATAACCCACTGAAGGGTCCAGCTATGGGTGAGTTCTGACTTGACAGCACACAGTAACAATAATAAATATATAATAATCTTATTTTTCAGTTCATTTTCATTTTCTTTTGAACCACTTTGAGATAAACCATTAATTCACTTGGAACTTCTGGCTACAGTCAAATGAGTTTAAGTCTCTCAATACACTCTGTGCTAAATAGGGAGCCTTGGGCTGGAGGTTGGGGACCCTGAAGAGGGCTGAAGCTGGGTCTTGTGTGCTCCTGTCCCCTTCTCCAGGACCCTGATACCGCTGAAGAAGACCAAAGTTACAATGATATGAAAGAACTAAGAAATTTCGCATAGTTATTGGATATGACCAAATCACGAATCCTCATTGACTAAGCGTAAAAAGTAGCAAAGATTTAAAGAGAGAACCCTCCAAGCTGTCATGAAATTCTAATTCCTTCTTCTGACTAAGCTACAGACACCAGAAAATCAGACGTTTTCTGCCTTTGGGAAAATGTAAGTACCTATTGTTATTTCCCTTTCACAGTTTTTATTTGCAGGGATACAAAATTGAAAGGAAATATTAAAGAGACGTAAGAAAGTGGTCGGAAGGAGGACAGGAGAACTAGTTAGACCTAACAAGAACTCCTGAGAGTCGAGCAGTGTGTGTCACAGTCAATCATAAAACCAAGGGGGCTACATCAGTAGACTTGTTGATGGTAGTGCGATCGGGTCAACTGCAGCTTGTAGTGACCCCTCTGCCCAACAGAGGGGAGCCCTGCCCAGTCCTGTGCCAGCCTCACAGTCTGTGGGGTGAAAGCCCCCTGAGGCAGCGGCTGCGCCCATTCATCTTGTTGAGGGCCTTTCTCTCCTTCCCTGACCCTCTAGTTGTCCAAGCACAGTATCTCTTCCCAATGACTGGCATCTCCTGACAACAAGCCCAAAGTAGACGAGCTGAAGTTCTACCCTCCTTGCCTTTAACGAGCACCCCTGGTGGGACTTCCTCCAAAGCAGATTTTTTTTCCCTTTTGGCAGTCTATGGACTATTCAATGCTCTTACCAATATAACAATCCAAATCCCAGGGGAAGTTAGATGTGAGTATGAACCCTTGATATTCCTAGTAGTCACTTTGGACAAAGTATTGTTATACACAGTGTCTTTTCAAATGTCTCTTTTGCCTTATATTCTAAGCATGAGGATTAGAATTTCTGATCTGGTCATTTGTCTACTAAAAGATGCTGTCAGGTATACTTTGACTCCTGGCAACCCCATGCTGTTTTATGCAATCTTATTTTTTTATTAAATTGCTTATTAAACTTAATTGTTTATTAAATGTGTTATACAATTCTTATAGTGGTCTCAAACCACAAATTTACAAGGTAGTGTTATATACATTTCTGTACTCTGTATAAGGCAAAGAAATGCTTGCTTCTATAAATGCTACCTAAGTCACTTAAAAAGCAACTAAAAGTTAACCATTTTTATTCAGTTAAGAATACAAGAAGTACGTAAGGCATATAAAATGTGTTGGAAGCAGCATCCCATTACATACAGTAAGATGGCCTTGATTGCGTAGGTCAATTACAAGCAAAGCCTTCATCTCTGACCTTGAAGGGAAGATGTTACACACTAGTCTTTGGTTGAACAGGACATCACTGAGTTCTTACAGAGTGAGGCCAAGGTTGTTGTTGTTGTTGTGTGCCTTTGTGTTGGAATTGACGCATAGCACCCACAGGTTTTCTGAGACACTCAGTTGCACAGGAAGAGATTGCCTGTATTTCTCCTGCAGAGCAATAAGTGAATTCAAACGTCACACATTTGTTTGGCAGCACAGCTTCTTACCTCTAAGATGCCAGAGCTCAGTTAGAAAATTGGATATCAACTTTGGATTTGGGCTCTATCTCTGAGAGAGGCAAAACCAGAAACTAACTCTCTTCCAAGAGTGACTCTGAAGACTGAGTCTCTGGACTTGAGATTGCATCTGACATCGCCAGTCTTGGATCCCAGCTCTATAGGACTTGAACCAAGGAAGAGCTGCTTCTGGTCAAACCTTCCTAACAAGACCAGCTGTAAAATTAAAGCCTGAAGTCTAAAGGTTTGGGTTCTAACCATCGGACAAGCATTGTAATTGTTAACCCAGATGCCACAATTTTCACAGAATGTCTTGGGTTATGTGTGTGCTTTGCCATGAATAACTTGCAATAAACTAGTTTATACATGACTTACGTACATCTGCACTTGAGTAAACTTGGGTATATATTTATTTCTGTTTAAAAGGAAATCTCCCAGAATACATGTATTATAAAGGAGAATTGCTTCATAGGATTCTTTTGGCTGTAATCTTAAAGCAAACAGATACCAGCTCTTTTCTTCAGTTGTATCATTGAATGTATTTGAACAAGATAGATAGAAAAGCTGAAAATGTTTCTGCATTCTTTACTGTTGTCATATTTCTGATCCATTTCTACCAATTAATTTTATCT